ACGCAAAACAGCGTGCAAGTCTCACCCGAATCACTGCGCGTCTCGTTGCCGGGAGACATCGCCCCGCCCACGACAGTCTCCCCATCCTCCCGCCCCTCGGCCGGCAGGTGCCGCCCTCCCGGCTCAAAGGGCAGCATCTCGGCGGGCACCGCGGCGGCCGCGGGGCTCGGCACGGCGCGGGAGACCGCGGGCGGCGGCGGCGCCGACTTGTCGGCGGGCGCCAGCCGCCCCGGCGTGGCTCTGGCCGAGGAGGCGGCGCTGCTCCACATGCAGTCCCGCAGCAGCATTACTCCCACGGCTCCCACGCCGCTGCCGCCGGCGGGGTCCCAGACGTGGCCGCGGCTCGCCACTTCGCCGCCTTCGCGGCTCGGATCGCCCGAGGGCGGCGGCGTTGGCGTTGAGTTCGCTCCGTCCAGCGCGGGGGGCAGGAGCTCAAACTTCTTCCAAATGTCCTCGCTGGGCAGCGTGGACTGGTGCCAGTCGCTGTGCAACTCCTCGCCGTTGTAGAAGGTCGAGGAGGAGGAGGAGTCATCCCTGCCGGCAGACATTGCGTGGATGATGACGACGCTGCTGCTACACGTGGTGATGATGATGACGCTGCTGCTACTTTCGTCACGCGACAACACGCCGCGTGGTGGCGGGTAGGGGTTGTTGTTCTTGTTTACATTCCACCACCACCCTCCTCCCTGTTGTTGTTGCGTCTTGTTTACTTCTTCTGCAGGGGGCCGCCGGGCTCGCCTGTAACAACAGCAAACAATAAAGAAAGCAGCGTCGTTAACAAAGCGAGCAAACACCACACAGAGTCGTAAGTGGCGCTGTTACTCATCCACAGCTCAATTTCATTCATCTCCGGGACGTTAAATTTCGATTTAAAGCTTTCGTGACTGCAGGGATTCATCTTCTTGGTTCTTTCGGTAAAGTCGCGTAGAAGGGAAACAATAAAATAATAAAAATATAAAACAATAACAATTCTCACGACGTTTCGTGTTGCAGTCGACACGTCGTGAGAATTTTTATTGTGTAGTGAATACTTGGGACGCAAGAGGGAGCGCACACACAGGGTGACATACACACACAGGGTGACACACAAAGATCCCCCATATAGCCTTAACAGACTGTAGGGGCAAGTGCTGTTAGCAAGCACCTATGAAGGCCGGAACGGTACACGAGGGGGTGGGTGGCCAGCACCACGCCCGACCGCCTTTGTCTCCCTAGTGGCAATGTTTACACACCGCACCAGGTACTCATTTGAGGCTGAGTCGACCTAGGGAAGGCCCGGGACCGGTTCAGACAATCGTCTGATGTTGGCCGTGAGCAGGAATCGAACCCGGGTCGCCAGGTTCATAGCGCAGCACGCTAACCGCTACACTACCGCTCCCCATACAGCGTGACACACACACAGGGTGACACATACAGGGTGACACACACACACAGGGTGACACACACACACAGCGTGACACACACAGGGTGACACACACGCACATGGTGACACACACACACAGGGTGACACACACATGCACACAGGGTGACACACACACAGCGTGACACACACAGCGTGACACACACACAGGGTGACACACACACACACACACAGCATGACACACACAGGGTGACACACACACAGGGTGACACACACACAGGGTGACACACACACAGGGTGACACACGCAGGGTGACACACACGCACACAGGGTGACACACACACAGGGTGACACACACAGGGTGACACACACACAGGGTGACATACACACACAGGGTGACACACACAGGGTGACATACACACACACAGCGTGACACACACACAGCGTCACACACACACACAGCGTGACACACACACACACAGGGTGAGACACACACACAGGGTGAGACACACACACAGGGTGACATACACACACAGGGTGACACACACACACACAGGGTGACACACACACACACAGGTGAGACACACACACACAGGGTGAGACACACACACAGGGTGACACACACGCACACAGGGTGACACACACGCACACAGGGTGACACACACAGGGTGACACACGCACACAGGGTGACACACACACGCAGGGTGACACACACACGCAGGGTGACACACACACAGGGTGACACACACACAGCGTGACACACACACAGCGTGACACACACGCACATAGGGTGACACACACACGCAGGGTGACACACACACACACAGCGTGACACACACACACACAGCGTGACACACACACAGCGTGACACACACACACACACAGGGTGACACACACACACAGCGTGACACACACAGATTACAATGATGACGACGATGACGATGAGACGCTTCGCTGAGCTGCCGTAAGTGACGGGAGAAGTCGGCGTCAGAGCAGGAGCTGTAGAGCCGCTCCCAGTGAAGTCCACCCCCAAGTGGCTGGTGGACTCGGGGTGACGAGTGATGGTGGGGGGGGGCTACTCACGGTCAAGGGGCAGGACGAGGGGGGGTCACAGAGACGCCAGCAATGCCACGAAGCCGCCGCCGCCGGCAGCAGCAGCAGCTGTGGTGGTGGAGAAAGAAGCCTCCATTGGGGTGGGGGCAGGGCGGGTGGTCGGACTCCGCCACCAAGTGGAGGGGGTGGGGGGGGAGGGAACTTGGGCGAGCCCATCTCGCAGTGGAGCTGGTGAGCGCCGCGGCCCATTGGCCGGGAGGGCACCGCCTCTCCCCCCCCCCTCAACATCCACCGCGGTGGTACAGGCCGCGTGGGTGAGTCACGAGACACTGGACTGCACAGTGAGATGTCAAGCGTGAACAACGCGGTGCATTAGTTTATATCTGTGTAGGAAATAATACATTGTCAGTTTTTTTTCGTTTAAAGCACAGTTGGTAGATGAAGATTATATTTTAGGATTGTATAGTGTTGAGTCTATTGTACAGTGTTGAGTCTATGGTGCAGTGTTGAGTCTATGGGGTAGTGTTGAGTCTATGGTGTAGTGTTGAGTCTGTGGTGCAGTGTTGAGTCTATGGGTGGCAGTGTTGAGTCTATGGTGCAGTGTTGAGTCTATGGTGCAGTGTTGAGTCTATGGTAGTGTTGAGTCTATGGGCAGTGCTGAGTCTATGGTGCAGTGTTGAGTCTATGGTGCAGTGTTGAGTCTATGGTGCAGTGTTGAGTCTATGGTAGTGTTGAGTCTATGGGCAGTGCTGAGTCTATGGTGCAGTGTTGAGTCTATGGTGCAGTGTTGAGTCTATGGTGCAGTGTTGAGTCTATGGTAGTGTTGAGTCTATGGGCAGTGCTGAGTCTATGGTGCAGTGTTGAGTCTATGGTGCAGTGTTGAGTCTATGGTGCAGTGTTGAGCCTATGGGCAGTGTTGAGTCTATGGTGCAGTGTTGAGTCTGTGGGCAGTGTTGAGTCTATGGTGCAGTGTTGAGCCTATGGGCAGTGTTGAGTCTATGGTGCAGTATTGAGTCTATGGTGCAGTGTTGAGTCTATGGTGCAGTGTTGAGTCTGTGGGCAGTGTTGAGTCTATGGTGCAGTGTTGAGCCTATGGGCAGTGTTGAGTCTATGGTGCAGTATTGAGTCTATGGTGCAGTGTTGAGTCTATGGTGCAGTGTTGAGTCTGTGGGCAGTGTTGAGTCTGTGGTGCAGTGTTGAGTCTATGGGCAGTGTTGAGTCTATGGTGTAGTGTTGAGTCTATGGTGCAGTGTTGAGTCTATGGTGTAGTGTTGAGTCTATGGTGCAGTGTTGAGTCTATGGGCAGTGTTGAGTCTGTGGTGCAGTGATGAGTCTATGGGCAGTGTTGAGTCTATGGTGCAGTGTTGAGTCTATGGTGCAGTGTTGAGTCTATGGGCAGTGTTGAGTCTATGGTGTAGTGTTGAGTCTATGGTGCAGTGTTGAGTCTATGGTGTAGTGTTGAGTCTATGGTGCAGTGTTGAGTCTATGGGCAGTGTTGAGTCTGTGGTGCAGTGATGAGTCTATGGGCAGTGTTGAGTCTATGGTGCAGTGTTGAGTCTATGGTGCAGTGTTGAGTCTATGGGTAGTGTTGAGCCTATGGGCGGTGTTGAGTCTATGGTGCAGTGTTGAGTCTATGGTGTAGTGTTGAGTCTATTGTGCAGTGTTGAGTCTATGGGCAGTGTTGAGTCTATGGTGCAGTGCTGAGTCTATGGTGCAGTGTTGAGTCTATGGTGCAGTGTTGAGTCTATGGGTAGCAGTGTTGAGTCTATGGTGCAGTGTTGAGTCTATGCGGCAGTCTTGAGTCTATGGGCAGTGTTGAGTCTATGGTGTAGTGTTGAGTCTATGGTGCAGTGTTGAGTCTATGGTGTAGTGTTGAGTCTATGGTGCAGTGTTGAGTCTATGGGCAGTGTTGAGTCTATGGTGCAGTGTTGAGTCTATGGTGCAGTGTTGAGTCTATGGTGCAGTGTTGAGTCTATGGTGTAGTGTTGAGTCTATGGTGCAGTGTTGAGTCTATGGGCAGTGCTGAGTCTATGGTGCAGTGCTGAGTCTATGGTGCAGTGTTGAGTCTATGGTGCAGTGTTGAGTCTATGGTGCAGTGTTGAGTCTATGGTGCAGTGTTGATGTGTCTGTGCGGCAGGATGTGGCACTGGTGGTGCCATGATCCACTCAGCATGCATCCTCGCACTCCCAAGACCCCCGTCCTCCCATCCCCTCCCACCACGATCCGATTGTGTTGAGAAGATTCCAGAAGAATGGATCATTCGTGTCATTTTTTATCCCCATCGACTGTGAACTCGCGCTTGAATTCGGTCGTTTTCCCTTCGTTTCGTTGCGTCTCTCTGCCGCTGCTGATCGAATGGCCGGCGATACCTCCTGCCTGCTGATCTCCACATCGTCGTCGTCGTTGTCGTCAACCACGCTCGATCCTCCGCGGAAATGAAGACCTCTCCCCAATCCACGGCCATCTCTCGCCGGTCGCGTGACTATGCACCGACAACGTCACGTCTCCCACCTGCGCTTGAACACAACCGTGCGCGCTCCTCCCGCACCCCCCTTCGCAGGTCGCGTCGGGGCTACGCCAGCGACAATGACGACGACGATGACCACCGTCATCGCGACAATGCTGCTGGTGGCGACGACGGGGGCGGCAGCGGCGTCGACGGTGTCGGCAGACGACGCGAAGAAGCCTTCTCCGTCCCATCCGTGCGGGCTGTGTCCCCCGGGCCACCACGTCTCGCTGACGTGTTCCACGAAGGCCGAGGAGGGGCAGCAGCAGCAGCTGGAGGACGCGTCCGACGTGGAGTCACGTTGCACTCGGTGCCCGCCACGCCACTACACCCAGTTCTGGAACTCCCTGGACCGGTGTCTCTACTGCGGCCCGGGGTGCAAGGAGGGTCAGCGGCTCGCGAAGGAATGCAGCCCCACGCACGACCGCGTGTGCGAGTGCGAGCCGGGCACCTTTCTGCTGCAGGAGTTCTGCGTGCCGCACAGAAGCTGCGCCGCCGGGCACGGCGTCGTCACCAAAGGCACGCACGGGGGGCGGATACACCACGTGTGTCGTTGCGGTTCATTCGGCGATCGATTCGCTCGTACCAAGACGCTACTCAATTATTGCGTCTTATTTAATTAGTTGAATCGATGACAGTTCCTTCCCCGTGACCTCCCCCATCAACAAAAATGCACGAACGCCCACACTCCCCATTCATGCATTCTTCATTCATTGTAGTACTTGGTGCTGCATGTCGCTCGGCGCGTACATGCACGGGTAGGATGTCCTCGCTAAAGGCGCGAGTGCACATGACCTATTCATTCGTGGAGAGGTGAAATCATTTGCGCATTATTTCATTTGTTCTGTTGGCTCCAATCACCAGTTGCCCATCGGGATAGAGCTTCTGCGTGCCCAGCACGAGCTTTCTACCCCACTCAGACATTAATTGGTTCCTACATGCATCCGTCTGATGATCATTCATTTGTTCATAATAAAGGTTCTTGGGTTAGGTCGCGTTATTTATAAATGTGTCATTTGTAAATGTATTTAGTCGTCAAGTCGGGGAATCTTATCACCACTTTCCCATCGCCCAGCTATCTCCCAGCCATCTCCCAGCGCCAATCAATGCCTATTCTCTTCTCATCTTTCTCTCTCTCTACGCATCTCTACATTCTCTCTCTCTGTCTGCCCGTGCACCCCCCATCTCACGCTCTTCTCGGCACGCACCTCCGCGTTCCGCAGGATCCCCGCACAAAGACACGCACTGCGCCCCGTGCCCTTGGGGATTCTTCTCCACGGAGGTATCGGCGAATGCCACGTGCCGCCCGCACGCAAACTGCCTCACTCCGGGCTCCGTGCAGCTGCTGCCCGGAGCCTCCACGCACAACGCGCTCTGCTGGTCCTGCCACGAGCGACGGGCGTCCGTGCGGAGTCGGGAGCATGGGGACGCGAGGCCGGCAGGTGAGCCGCTTGCAATGACCGCACTCCCGTTCACGTGTTTCATACGGACGTATCGTTTTAGCGGCAACCGTAGATCGATGGCATAGTCGGAGAAGCAGCTGCTGGCTTCGGAGGGCAGTGGATGCCACACTGGGTCATTTCATTTCATTTACACCTGATGACGATTGCTTGTGTTGCAATTGAAACGTCGTATGCCGGTAGCAAGACGCGTCACCTCTCTTCCCTCCGCAGGGGAAGATGGTGCCGAGCCTCCACCGTCTAACCCGCCGCCCCAGCCGGAGTACGCGTGCGTGGACGCGACCCTGCGATTCGTGGACAGCGTCCGTCACCTGATTCTGCCGTGCCTGGCCCACCACGACACGAAGGAGGCCGCCTACATCTGGAAGCTTCTGGCCGGTGCCGCGAGGCGGCGGCGGCGGCAGCGGGAAGGGCGCAGGCAGCGTGGGGGGAACGAGACGAAGCGGGCGAGGAGGTTGGAGAGGCAGCTGGAGATGCTGCTGGGGGTTTGCGCAAAGGGAGCGTCGCCAGGAGGGTCGGTGAGAATGCACGCGGCGACGGCGGCGGCGGCGGACTGAACGTGGTCGAACAAGATGGGGGGAAGGGCCTTTGAGGACGTCCATCTTCTTGGTTCTTTCGGTAAAGTCACGTAGAATGGAAATAACAAAATAATAAAAATATAATAAAATATATTATTATAAATAATTAAAATAAGAAAATATTAGAAATTAAGCATAATGAAATATATTATTATATAACTTTTTTATGTTTTATTTTATTATTTCCCTTCTAGGGGACTTTCGTGACTGCAGGGATTCATCTTCTTGGTTCTTTCGGGAAAGTCACGTAGAAGGGAAATAATAAAATAAATAAATAGAAAACATTTATGCTTTATTTTTTATCTTTTTTTATTATTAAATTTTTTTATTATTTCCCTTCTACGTGACTTTACCGAAAGAACCAAGAACAGTGAATAACTTTAATAAGCCGAAAATATTAACAGACACTCCCTCACGACTGAAACCTTAACCGCTGAACATTTCAGACAATTTGCCCTGCCGTGAGGTGCAGAAGAGTACGGTGTCGTTACGAACAGCGAACACTGTGACAGCTAAAATGCTACAAAAGTCTCCGATTTGGATGTTGATTCACGTGAAGAGAGAACATTTCAGCAGTGTTCACAGTCTCTCCTACGACCAGGCCTCTCGATGTTTAACAGAATGTTACTGTGCTGGCTTGGAGTTAGGAATTATGAGCAGAAGGCACCGCAACTCGAACGTGATACACTCATCATAAGAATCCATGTTGTTGTATAGGCCAATCGGTTTAAAGGACGATGCATACATTACCGAAGTATATTTGTTTCAACGGTTTACCGCAAGTCTGTGTGGTTAGTGCAGACTGGATGCCTTGTGATAGGGGTCCATTTGGTGTTTGAACCTCTTAACACCTCAGAAAGGGTAAATCCTATTTGTTTATTTTATTCCATCACTATGTTTATTGCACCCATATATCCTTACAATCAATCCGATGAGAGCTTTATACAAAAATATCGTTGGACAAAATAAGGACCAATAAGGATAAATGAGGATGTGGTTTGTCAAAATGGTTCCCGGAAAAGTGAAAACAAAAATAACAAAAATATTTCGTTGTTAAGATTTTGAGAGAAACATTTCTGGAGCAGAGCGTAATGCACCTCCAATGTCAACTACTGGGGGACTGGTTAATGACTTCTTTTGGAATGTAAAATGTGGTTTTGTAATTACCACGTTTGGTTACGTGTTGACTGTTTAAACCTTTAAATAAAAGTTGCATAAAATGGATACGCGTTCAAAATTCCTCAGCAGTTTAGAGCGAATCGAAATCCGCAAATATGCCATCAGCTATGCTCTACCCACTGCTGGCTCAAAGCCTCCCTTCAATCATAGCTGAGATGCCAAAAAGCCACCGAGGTTTTTCTGCCCATGAGCTCCGATCTTATCGCTCCATCTGCGTCCATCGGTTATCATCCCTCATCGCCGTGCTGCCCTGACCAAACTCAACGCAACGCCTGCACAGTCATTACATTGTCCTGCAAAGGATTGCGGTCGTCCTGAAGCCACCCCCACCCCCTCCAACTCTACCAGAGAGAGAGAGAGAGGGAGGAGAGGCAGTGTCCGTAGAGTCGTGGCGGGCCCCCCGACAGTTCACGATGAGAAGTCAGGGGCCCTGATGCTGATGGGAAGATTGCCAGGTGGGGTAGACACGTGACTGCGCCCCACGTGACCTCTTGACCCGCACCCTTCCCGTGCCCTTAGAAGAACAGCCCCCACACCCCCCCCCCCCGTAGCCCCTGGGCGACAGGTACTGTGAGGCCCCCAGTAATTTTTTTGTCAAGGCGCTCTTCCCCCTCCAACCCAGCTTAAATATACACTCCAAGCCTGGTGGTGTTTCATTCAGACGCTGTCTTTCCGACAGACCTGTTCTTCACCTGAGGACCGCTGCTTGCGTTGTGGCCGAAACGTCGTGAGAATAATTTTATTATGATTTATTATTTTATTATTTCCCTTCTACGTGACGACTTTACCGAAAGAACCAAGAAGATGAATCCCTGCAGTCACGAAAGCTTTAAATCGAAATAAAACATTTAAGGAACACAACTTAAACGGCAAACTAGAGGACAGTGCAGCGGTGCACTCACAACTCCAAACCATCGCGACGGCGCTGAAGCAAACGAGAGAAACACAACGGGGGGCAGCATCGTGCACTCAACAGAAGTCAAAGACCCGTCACGGTGCCCACGCCACTGCGTGGCAGGCCTGGGAGCTCAGAGCGAGGGCTTTAGAGCATTCCGACCAATTCCTAGCCACCAGGGGTCACAAACGGGTTTTGATTCCGTACCCGTACCCGGCCGCACCAGGGTCGCAAACGGGTACCCGTACTCGTACCCGATACCCGGCTACCCGTACCCGGCCGGGTATGGGTAGGGTACGGGTATCGGGTACCTGATTGCGACCTCTGGGATGAAGCCGTGTTGCAGGCGCGGGTGGGTTGATTCTAGGAACTTGAACTGTGAGAAGAGACAAGACGTTGGGAAATGAGTGACAAACGGTTACTCACCAGTGACTCACGGCCTACCCGTACCCGTACCCGGCCGCACCAGGGTCGCAAACGGCTACCCGTAGCTGGGTATCGGGTAGGGTACGAGTATCGGGTACCCGGTTGTGACCTCTGCCTACCACCCAGCGAGTACGTGGGCGGTCGATGTGCACATGCGTGCACGTGTCATCGTGCTGGATACACAAAACAAAGGCTCGGCGACGTTTTTGCACGTGCTTTAATAATGTTTCGTATTGCTTAACGAAGGTCGACAAGTCTGTCCGTCCACACCGCTCGTGTTTCATGTCCGGCGGCCGTCGTTTGAGCGAAAGGCGGTTGGCTTCGGCGGTGTCACCGCACGGACGCGTCGGCTGTCGGATCCGGCAGAGGGAAGGAGGCATCGACGAGGGTGCGGCGATTGGCATTGGCCGCCACGACCTCGTGACCTTTGGGCGCTGCCCCCGTTGCAGGCGACACCCACGTGGACGGGCAGCCGCACCACGCAGACTCCGGCTCATCCTCTCGGCAGCAGCGGCGGCGGCTTCAGGGGCTATCAATCAAACAAAGACGGCGGTCGCCGCATCGTCATCATCGTCATCATCGTCATCATCATCGTCATCATCTTCATCATCGTCGTCATCATCGTCATCATCATCGTGATCATCGTCATCGTCGTCATCGTCGTCATCATCATCATCGTCGTCATCGTCATCATCGTCATAGTCGTCATCATCGTCATCATCGTCATCGTCACGGCGCTTTCAGACGCACTTCCGCAGCCGCCTGGAACGCTCACCACGGGAGCCGCGCACTTTTTGAAACGACCATCCAAATTGAAAACTAATCTATTCACAACCGTTTTTGTCCTTCCCCCCCTCCCACCCCCTGCTCCCGCATCTCCGATCAGCGCGGTTGGCATCGTACTCACACGCACCTGCATCTGGCCCAGTGGGTGGGTGCTGCATTCCGGCGTCGGTCAACCACCGCGCCCCCCCCCCTCCCGCGTCACGTGGAGGAGCTGCTCGCCGTGGGGGTCTCCGCCAGCACGGCCTGCAGCAGGCGCATGTAGCGGAGCGTCGCTCGCAGCGTCTCCGCGCTCGACGGGCGGCAGTGCGAAAGCTCCAGCGGCACCAGCTGACGCAGGCACTGGAACATGCGCTTCGGGTTACGCACCTGAGGGCACACGGGCACGCACGGACGGACACGCACGGACACGCGGTCAAGCCGGGGGCGAGGCGCTCGGAGCGAAGCAGCGACGAGGGTTCAAGCGACGATCTGGCAATCACCGATTCACTCCGTTCACTCGCTGGTGGCCAGTCGCCTCCCGATCGCACTTTTTTTGCCGCCAGCGTGGTTCTCATTGCCGTGAATGTCACTCGTTCTGCCCCCCCCCCCCCCCCCCCGTGGCGAGGACTCGGCTCTACCAAACTCAACCGTCTCGTGTCACCCCCAGAGGTCGCAAACGGGTTTTGATTCCTTACCCGTACCCGGCCGCACCAGGGTCACAAACGGGTACGCGTACCCGGCAGTACCCATACCCTACCCGGCCGGGTACGGGTATCGGGTACCCGATTGCGACCTCTGGTCACCCCGTACCGCGTTCAACAACGACCAAACCGCAGGTCACGATCACGCAAAGTCTCTCAAAGCACCCACTCGTGGACAGATTAGCGGAACGCGAGAGAGACGGGCACGTGGGAGGATGGACACACGGACGGATGGATGGATCCGAGTTTTAAGTTAAACAACAATTTGATTTTCACATCCCTTCACGTGACGACAAGCGACTTTACACATTTGAAAGGGCAACCGCCACCTCCCCCAGCGGCAGCTGTCACCACGTGACACCCGGGCTGCAGTCGGGCCAGTATGGAGGAGACTGCCGCTGGCAGCTGCAATCCCCATTGATACAGGGACAGCGCCGGTGTTTACAATGTCGCTGATTTGGGCCATGCCGTGCCCGCAACCACAATGACCGCAGTAATGGCCGGGGTGGCCTGCGAGATCCGAACCGAATCTCGAACGTGCCACCGCTGAACCATGTCACCCCCCCCCCCCAAGTTTGATTTTAGTCTGAGTCAACCTAGGGGATCGTGGCCTCTCACCCGGCGTCTCTCGCGCAAGATCGCTTTGCTCCTCTTAGCAGCAGTCGTCCTCGGGGAGGCCGGTGAGCACCAGCGGCAGTAGTGCGACGAGGAGGTGGAGGAGGTGGTGGAGGAGGAGGTGGTGGAGACGGTGGTGGAGGTGGTGGAGGTGGTGGAGGAACCCGCCAGAGTCCTGCAGAGCCCAGCTGGAATCTGAGACCCCTTGAGAACCATGCAGGACGACCACGCTGGCAGCATCGGCTGCTGCTGCTGCTGCTGCTGCTGTTGCTGCTGCTGCTGCTGTTGCTGCTGCTGTTGCTGCTGCTGTTGCTGCTGCTGCTGGTGGTGTTGGTGCTGCTGCTGTTGCTGCTGCTGCTGCTGGTGCTGCTGCAGCTGCTGCTGCTGCTGTTGCTGCT